AGAAATTTTTTCAATCGATACCTATCGAAAAATAAATAACGTGAAAGGGTAACAGCTAAATGCTATTAGCGTATAAATTATGGTGTAATTGAAAGTAGGGGAGTTGGTGACGTCATTTCCCAGCCCCATCATTCAGTCGATGCATCCCTCGATCAAAAGCCAATGGATTAACGGTTTTTATACACATACATATAGGATACTTTTGTTACTCGAATATAAACTTTAATAATCATTGTTTTGATCAACTTAATTAACTTTTTTGCTTAAACATGAGATGAGACAATGGTGAAGATGATAATAACTGATAGGTGATTTCAAATATTTTTTTATTCGATATGAAAACTTGTTTTGGTCGGTTTCAATCCCATAACAAAAACGATTTACATAGGTAGCCTAAGTCCTTATCAACCAAATTAAAATAATCGTATTGGCGATTACAGTATTCGTGTTAAACTTTACAAAATAGATTTATCTAGACCATTTGGCGGAGCGAACCATAGAGAGGAACTGAGTAATTTAGTAATTGTATCCACTAACAAGGAATTAAATAGTAATCAATAGAACTGGGGCCCGGGCACGAACCTCCTGGAGCTTTTAGTTCCGACGACACGGGTGCGATACGATTTTGTGAATGAAGAAGATTTTGATAATATTCGTGAGTAGAAGTACATAGTTATAGAGTTTCATAACTGCACTTCTTAGATTTTATCTTAAAATGACAATAGAATTTCATCTAAACCATAAATGGTATGTTGTCGGTGGTTACATCTTACGATCATAGCATTTATATTGGAAGAGCCTCGAATTATGTGCATTTTGGAGCTAATTCAATATTGTAATGCTGAAATCTCTTACTGAAGTAAAATAACGGTTTACTCATATGCATATATTGAGAAAATCTCAACTAGTTTCGAGTTACAGAGGGGCTCTTCCTCATAAGCTGCGTACACGGTCGCGGCGACGTTAATATAAATGAAGGCGGTAAAATGTGTTACTGATTTTTTATCTTTAATTCTTTTAACAGATATTAGCAACATTTAAGAATACAATAAGCAGTTATTTGAAATTCCAGTAAATAAGTGAACTAAAATCTGATACAGTAAAAGCGATACGTGGATTTGCGAGGCTATTGTTTTAAATGGGTACTTACGCTTAAAGTTTGGGGCCAATTTTGCGTGTCTAGGTTTATGTTGGCCTCTGTAAATGTATTGTCATACCTTGAGACTTACGTAATAATGCGGTAAGTCACTGACTTGAAGCCTCTTCAACTTAGTGGGTGATTCACAAGAAACAGAAAGGGACACAACTAGTGAAACGTTGAAAGAATTGACGGAAACGATTTAATGTTGCATTTAAATTTTCAAATTCGCATTACTTATTTGCCGTTCGTAGAAATCGTGAATCGTATTGATACTTGATGTTTTAAAGCAGTTATAGTTAGTTGGTATAATTTCATTATTTTCGCCTACGTAGTTTGGTTTTCAATCCGTGATAGCCTCGGAAGGATGGACAGATCTTTTTGAAATGCTAACGAAATGACAATGCTAGTATCTTCGTAGTCTAAACTTCTATAGGCGTCATTCATTAGCCACTGTCACAAATAACCACAAACGAACAGATTTATTCCCACAAAAAAAATAAAAAACTTAACTTGAATCGGAATCGTCACAGATAATTCAATATAACAACAAAAAAAGCTAAATCAAGTCTCTTCGCTTTCGACGTAATACGCAATTATTCGATTTTTAAAAACAATTAAAAATAAAAAAGGAATGCGTTCATAAAACGGCCAGGTGTTTTTATTTTACTTCGGACTATCCTTTTTGCGGATATCACTTTCATTTATCGTGATACAACAAACAATTAGCAGTTAGCAATGGATCGCTTCGTTCAGAAATAGCGAGGAATCGATAGACTCATTATGAAACAATTAACTGAGTAGGTTGCTGTACGTGGGCATCTGATGATGTTTGCAGTTATTATTATACTTAAATATTAGCTTTTCACATTTCAAATATACTTTTATATAGACACAGATAAATCAGCCTCAATTTTATGACAAGGCAGAATCTTCTACATTAAAAATCTTGTTGTGACAACCCGTATGAGTATTGGCCATTTTCCTCGAAATATAGTAATTAAAACAATACACAAATTATGTTAACTAATACAAATTACTAGGAAATAAAAGCGGCATAGTTTTCGTCGATAACAGAGTTAACATTTTAGTGGTAATAGTATTCCCGATGGACAGTGTGGCGGATCGAAACGAATGTTCGTTGTAGGGAATTAGCTACAATCCCGGTAAATAAAACATTACCAATCTGTTGCATCGATATTTAAACAGAATTCTTTTGCGTTTGAATTGAGAATCTCTTTTGTTTTATGAAACGGTTAGTGTAAACTTCTACTTATGTTTTCGGGTGAGTTCTACACAACGTCTCATCTTGCAATCCTTGAAAGAACAGGTACATATATATTAGATATGAGAACTATCGAAGTGGTAGGCAGAGGTGCGCATCACGACACTTAATGCCACTGTATAATGTATCACTCACTTTCCACTATTTATATTATGAGTCCCATGTAGAAGGTGGTCAGCCTATTAGCATACACCGAGCATAATTCCAGACTACGTGCTACTACTTTTTTTTTAATATCTCAATAATACTTTGCCCGATTCGAGACCTCTTGCCCGGCAGTCGCACTTGCGAACACTCGGCCAACGAGGCAATCATATTTGTTATCTTTATCATATACCTATTATTACAATTTTGACATGTTTAATGACACAAACGTATCATGTACTTAATAGTGTAACAAGTTCAAATCGACATCCCAAAAGAAATAGTTCCTTTAAAGTAACTGAAGAATAAAAACATTACAGACTGGCTTTACAGCATCCAACAAAAGAGGTCACGAATTAACTAAGGCCAAATGAAGACCAAAATAAACCCAGTCTACCTTAGAATAGGTCAAATACGATTCTCGAGACGGTGCAAATAAAAATCGTTCCATTTCTGGCTCCAAATGTGAATGAAATGGGCCAATGAAAATAACTCGTGTCTTAAATAAATTGCCATAGACTGCTTGGGCGGATAGCTGAATTAGTATCAATTAGATCGTGTGTATATTTGTACATTGTATCTAGGTACTTGTGTAGGTATTTGTAGTTACGACTGGATTAAGAATGGCTTTTGTGAATGAGTTTTCAGCCTTGAATGATGTTTAGTTGTTCAAGAAGTTAATATTATATCAGATGTTTTTTTTTGGTATAAGCCGGTAAACGAGCAGACGGATCACCTGATGGTAAGCAATTGGCGTCGCCCACCTGGAACACTAGAGGCTTTACAAGTGCGTTACCGAGTTTGAGGATCGTTGGGGATTCAGGGATTGGGGAGATTGGGGAAGGGGAATGTAATTGGGCTTCCGGTAACCTCACTCACACGACGAAACACAACGCAAGCGTTGCTTCACGTCGGTTTTCTGTGAGGCCGGGCGTGGTATCACTCCGGTCGATCCGGCCCATTCGTGCCGAAGCATGGCTCTCCCACACTGAAGTATTTCTAACATCTTTGTTAGTTAGGATGACGTGTAATGTACCTCTATCTACCCCGTTGGGGATAAAAATGCGTAGTATTCTGCAATGTATCATGGTAGGTACTTAGGTACCATAAAGCAGATTTGCTATTGGAATTTTCAAATTAGTCTAATTATATTTAATAACCTATTGTTCATACTTACTTAGCTACAAGTCATTTAACGCCATGTTTAATTCAACATCCAATTACACGTGTTATTACAATTTTCGTATAAATTTTATCACTTTGTGTAAATGAGATATAAATTGAGGGAAAAAGGTAAAAATTGAAGACAAACCCGTGGCATGACCGCGGTTTTTGATTTAATAAATGAATGTACGAGAATTGATTCCCTTAATGGCATTCGGTATGATTTACATAAGTAATGATCATTGATACGAATTCATTAATTAATTAGCCATGTAGTAGAAAAGGCCACCCAGTCGCTGGTAAACCTACTTTGTATTATTTCAATGTAAGTTGTAAGTACACCGAATATATTTTCCTTTTGGAGTACGTACTAAGTAGTCCGACAAACTGCCACTTGTAATGCACTTAATTCCAATACATTATTGCTTAACATATCTTTACAGATAGTACGCTGTACCAATAAAATGTTTAAACGATATTATCTCAACAGCTAAAAAGCTTTAAGTTGACTTACTAATAGTTTTTATTGCACAGAAACTGAATACTTTAACATACAAATATTCTACTCGAAACGTATTAAAATTATTGAGAACATGTTTAAACGCACGTGTAATTAGATTTGTTCAAGTTAAAAATCAAATTAAACAAACCTTTTTTTCGAAACGCAACTAAATTAACTTTACAATGGAGTGATAAGATCGCGCGGCGCCGCTCGCCTACGTCGAACGGACGCGGGCTACTTTGAGCTAATCAACTTAACTCGACTGTCACCGAACGCACTCGGGAACTCGGAACTTCTAAACAGAGCACGGACAGTCTACAACAACTCTTTATAGTATTAGGTAAAATAACTCCTAGGACACTGTTAGACTTCGCCTAGCTAATGGATCGCTCCTCTATGCTTAGAACGTAAAACTTTTATGGATAAGTAGAATCGAGTTAGTAGTTGTGTCGAAAATAGCGTTTAAGTTGCTCTTAGTTTTGCTTTTGTTGTGTTGAAATGGCGAATGAGAGTTTGTCAAAATGTTTTGGTGGAGTTACAATGGTAAGTTGGCTGCTAATATATCGGGTCTGTTTGGATTAGTTTCATTAAATTTGCAGCTTGTTCTACACTTTTTGTTAGTGTTGTTAGTATAGATACAATTGTCCAATAAAGTATCCATTCTCTATTATTTTTGTGGCCTACGTAAGATTGATTTACGATCAGTATCAAACATTTTTTTTTCTAATCAAAGATCTGAATTATTGGTAGACTTTAAAGACACTTACTTGGCGAATCAGCAAGCAAATCACTGTCATCATGTGATGGAGACTTCACGGATCCAGGAGACATCTTCACAGGTGCATGCGGTGACGGAATCGGGCCGGATCCGGCACTACCAGCACTGCTGGCCGGTCCGGCGTTCGCGTTGTGTGACGTAGTGATCGTTATCTCCCCGTTCGACGCAGCCAGCCTGTGTAACATTAGTATTATGACGTCATTATCTAGTAAATGCATCCTAATAGGGTGATTGAAGTATTTGATGCTTGAAATTACCGTGTTGCACACCGATAATTTATTCAAACACGTGTTTGTACGGAACATAGTTATCGCTGTGTCGAAGAGCTGTTAATGTTTTAACGTGGGTGGTCCTACCTATATTTACAGTAGTTGTAGGAACTTAACTCTACTTACAATTAAATAGATAAATATCTAAATTGAAATCAGATTATAGGTAAAGACAACATTTTAAAAAAATAAAAAAGTTACTAAAAAACAAATAAAAATAAAAAATGCGACGCGAGCGGCGAGCCTTGTTTAAATTCGACGTAACGAAGCCGCACCTAACAGTAAGTTATAAGGTAATCTTAGACAAATGTCGGATGAAGTCAATTAGATGTTGGTATTTTTTTATCTCAGATACATTTAAATGTAAAAGAAATCTTGTCGTGTTCAAACTGCGAAGAGATATCTATTTATTCTTTTGTTTTTACTCTTGGTAATGTCTACTTAAGGTACATTAAGTAACTAATAATTAGTTAGAAAGTTTACTTTTTAGGGAAATTTTAATAAGACGCAGTTGGTGTAATAATTGCTAGGTTGCTACGAGATTTTAAGTAAAGCATTTATGATAACTACTAACAAAAATTACATGTGTCCGATACACTTATCCCTATATCCTAATATATAACCTCAGTAGGTGACAATATATAACCCGATGACAGTTCATTGGGTCAAATTTATTCTAGATCGACAATAACCGATGTACAATAAATTATGTATGATAAATCGGGCGTCGCTGAAGAATATTATTAGCTTCTTAATCCTTTAGTTAGTATAAAAGTATTTCGAAGTGCCCACTGGAAGTACACTGAATGGAAGAACCAGAATTATAAATAAAGATACCGCTAAATAGAAAGATAGAGCCTATCACTGAACAGTGACACAGCACTCGTTAATTGTCACTGAACAATAGGGGGCAATTTTTCTCAATCAGTACTGAGATAAGACACTTAAAGAAGACCCGTTTTCCTCCATGATTCACATAGTGTTAAGTGATATTATTAAATTAAAAAAAATACCTAAGATATCGTCTACCCTCTTGATTAACTTCAGACATAAAAATCATATTATAAAACGCTGGATCACAACGAGAAGGACCGATAAACAAACAGATATAATATAGGTACTATATACACAAGAACAAATAATAATAGGTAAGTAAGGTTGTAAGGCAAGAAGAAGATAAAAATCAAAGAGAAGATATGGAAGATAAATTAGTGAATGCAAAGAGGTCGTTGGATAATTAAGACAATGCAGTTGCATTGACTATAAATAACGGGGACGGAAGTAATAAAAATGTTAGTCAAGGGCACGATTAGGTACACCAGAAAATACCTCTAATGATCCAAGTCCACCACAAAGTTACAATTGATATCCAGAAATGTAGTGATATACTACAACTTATGAAGATAAACATTTAGGAAACAACCATAAGAAAGAAGTCAACATTACACACAACCATTTTAATTGCCATGGAGTTCTTTCATTGGAAGTAACCTCTTTGTACCAGGAAATAATAGCAACTTAGAAGAATATGTCTGGCTTAACAAAAAAAGGGAAGTTGGTAACCCATTTTGCTTTAGGTTTTTAAAGGAAAAGTTTTCTATACATTGTTTTAAGGTGAAGGTTGCCATAAGACGTGTACAAAAACCTTTGTTTTTTATAATTATGTTTGCAAAAGAAAATCATAGGAAAACGTGATAAATTGTTCTTTTGTGTGAATATAACCTAACAACTAGCTGTGAACGTGTTTGTCCTGATGATTTGTTTTTGTTTTTACCCTTATTCTTGTAAATTCTTTAGTATTTTAAGTAGTTATATCATTTTGTATGTACGTATGCTTGGGCTTCAATTACACTATGTCTTTTACAGTCAGAATATAAAGACAAGAAGAATTAACATAAGACTCTTCTTTCTAACGCAAACAATGTTTTTTTTTAAAGTTGGAAAATCATCGTATGCCTTCTGGGTGAGGCGGGAGGGAGTGTCAGACTCTTACTGACTACAGTCCACCCCGTTCCTACTCCTACACTTCGGGCCCCGGTAACCCGTTAAGTTCTCCGCGACTGAAGTCATGATTAGGATTTTATTTCACATTTTATTCAATTATTTTAAGCATCAATGCGCAAAACATGGTTACAAAACTGTATTCAATACACATTACTCACATTTTTATCTAACAGCTACAATTTTTAAACGAAATAAACCTACAAACAACAAAAGCCCTTACATGTTCACGATTAAAACCTAGTTTTCTTTACATATTTTTTTTCTGGTACGAGTATCGTGTAACAATGATGTTTCGAGTGTCTCACCCGAGTGTGGCGGCTACAAATGAGGTGCGCGCTTCATTAAGTGCGCCTGCATTAGCGGTAATTGCTGGCTAATTAGGGCTCATCCGTTGCAACACACATACATATGCACTTTTATTGTGTTCATACATGATACTGCTACACAGACTCGTTTTAATTTGTCTGTCGTCAAGCAATTGAGATTAGTTATACATAGTTGTAAACTGTTTGTTGTGCAATTGTTTTTTTTTATTCGCAGTTTTATGGCTTGAGAAACATCGGTGCAAAAAGGATTTAAATCTTCTCTGGGCCTTTAGCCAAACGCCACTTTAGCGCTTGTCTACAGAGAGAGTAGAAATCAAAATGTATGGGGATGACACTGACAAGTGTCAAAATTTACGTCAATTCCATTTAATTTGGTTTTCTATTCTACATGTAGACAAGCGCTAAATGGCATTTGGCTACAGCTGCTGGTTATATGGAAAGCTATGGCGTATTTATTAAACTGGAAAAATAGCTTTAGGTCTTGTAGATTTCCCACCTAAACATTTGTAATGATTTATTATTCATACTGAGGAAAATTGGTGGCAATAGTTGGATGTATTTTCCGTAACAAATGTGTTACTTATTAGTAATATAACTTATGACTTAACTTAATTAGGCATTGTCAAACGAGCCTTTAGCTAGTGTCTTGAGTTAAAAAACGAAATATTAACTTATTTAATTGGTTGACTGCCTCGTTGGCCGAGTGGTCGCAAGTGCGACTGCGGGGCAAAGTATTAATGGGTTTTTAAAAAATCTCAGTAGTAGCACGGAGTCTGGAATTGTGCCCGGTATATGGCAATAGGCTCACCCCTTATTACATGGGACTCATAACATAAATAGTGAAAAGTGGGTGTTACATTGTACAGTGTCATAATGTGCACCTCTGCAAACCCTTTCGGGGATAAAAGGCGTGATGTTAAGTTATGTAATTGGTTCAAATGTTCCGTAAGACGTAAAATGTTCACATTCTATTTAGGGTACGTGTAATCATAGGTAGTATAGCATCTGCGTTAATTTATTTACCTTTTCTTAGTAATCAATTAATATGTAAATTAAACTAGCACCCCTTTATGCCATAGTAAATAAAGTACTGCGTGTATGTATATATGTATGTATGTATATGTAGTGAGGCGATAATAACACGCACACTCTCTTACAAACATGAACTCATTCACACACACATTATACATGGTGTTCAGATGCGCGTGTGTGTTCACACAAATAAACACAAAAGTAATTAATTGTTCCTTCAAAATTATCAGAAGGTAACTTCGACAACTAAAACTACAAGTATGCAAGTTAATTTATTAAAAAAATAAAATTATAATCGTCTTGTCGCATATTTAATTACGATCTCATTTTCGTGTCATTCTCGTATGACCTTTATCGTGCGTTAAAGGTTTGGTCTCGATAAGTGGTGAAAATAATTATATTTTAATTTATTATTATTGGTATTTTTACTGTCATTATTACGCTTTATTACTGCTGAAGTATTAATTAAGTTGAAATTTTAAGGGAAAATGAGATAATGCTGGATGTTTTTATATTATAAGGCGATACAATTGCAATTTTTTTATTGGTATATTTAGTTGTTTATTCTGTTAATCTAGTATCTTACTCCGTTCATCTACTAAACAAGGACTCCTATTTGATAAAAAATATTTTTACGACTAAGTATTAGTACTATTCGTTTCTCCAACACCATATAAATAAAATTATTTTAGTGTCTTCCTACTTACCAATGGAACCGACCCGTAATTATTTAAAAATGGAATTGTTTTAAAAACATATATGGCCAGTAAAATAACGTCCGCCTAAAGGTACGATTATAAAAATATGAAATGAAATGTTTTATTAAGGTCAATGCGTTTACGAATTGACGCGCTTCAATTTTAGGTATTGAGTCTTACTACTACACGTGCATGTCACACACACACAGCGAAATGCGCGAAGCGGCGAAATTATGTGTAAACTGACACGACTTGATACTTGAGTTATTTTTATTTAATTTTGCAATGTTTTTTTTAAGTTAACTTTGATTTGGTTTGTAACGTGAAATGGTTACAAAAGTATATTATATGTATACTTTTGTAACCATTTTCATTAGTAATCAATGAAATTAGGTTAATGGTACCTATATGTACCATTAACCTAATTTAATTGATTTCATGGATGGACAGTTTTTTTTTTTTTTAGTTTGAGCTCGTTTTGTTAGTTATGTTGAGACCTTACCTCCGGACTTGATGGAGTGACCTGCAGGTGTACTTCGAAGACTGCTACTGGAACTAATAGACGAGTGGAGCTAGGTGTGCCGAGTTTGGGC